GTGCATGACCACGGCCCGTACGCAATATACCGCCGTTCCTTTATCTAATCTTAGAAATAAGTCTAAAACCCCCAACCAGTCTTCATATCGAAATTTGATTTCTACTAAATGACATATACTGAAATCAATCGCAGCATAACATATAGTAAAAGGCAGCCTTGCTCATAAGCTACAAGTCCCGAGCTAGGGGGAACGGGCTGTTATTTCCAACACATCGCGCAAAGACAAATGTAATACGAAAATCTATTTGTATATCTGACATTCATACTCGACGTGCTATTAACTAGATCTATCATATTTCTTCACAGGAGACATCCCACTCGCTATTCCTTGCGCTACAGCCAGTCGACATCAGCATTCCGCCTGTCGACTGAAACGAGCAAATTGGATTAAGTGTTTGCGTCATTGTCGTCTCTCTCTCTCTCCCTCCATCTCCACCCCTCCCCCTCTCCCTCTCTCTCTTTCTCTCACTTTCTGTCTCTGTCTCTCGCAATTATTCACTGAAGCACGGGGTACAAAGACAATCCACTCTCGTACGTTCGAGAATACTCGTAAAAACGCTGAGATCGAACCGTAGACTGCCACAGACGTGAGACGCGCGCGGTAGCAACGCGTGCGTACGCAGCTTGCTTTTTAAACTGAGACATTGAGCTTCAGACGCTGAGACATTCACGTCCCCTCCCCCACTGTCACGTCGATCGATCGAATGCACGCCTCTTAGTTGTATTTTTCCCCTCCTGACAAAGAAGGAGAGATAGAGATGGGGTAGAGGTGGAGAAAGAGAAAAGAAAGGGGGAGAGAGAAAGAGAGAGAAAGAGTGGGCAAGGGAATAACGGAGGGATATATATATAGGCCTATAAAGATAGAGAGAGGGGGGGAAGAGACGAAGAGGGAGAGAGAGATGTAGGGGAGAGAGGAAAGGAGGGAGAGAAAGAAAAAGGGGAAGGTAGTGATGGAAAGAGGGGGAGGAATGAAGGAAGAAAGGGAGGAAGAGAGAGACGGGAGGCATTCTCACGTGATCGACGCTGCGGCGTACCAAAATGCAGCTGACGCCCACGCACGCGCGAAACCCGGATCCCAGCGAGAGAGAGAGAGAGAAAGAAAGCGAGAGAGAGAGAGAGATCGAGAAAAAGAGGGCGAGACAAAAATACATCGACT